ATATATATATAAAATTTTATAAAAACTTTGTCTCAAAAATTCTAAATTCAAACTGCTGCTATTTTTATAAACAATACAGTCATTATTCATTTTTGCGTTAATGCATTTATAAATTACAAAATAAGGTATGGTATTTATATGATTATTTTCTATAATACAAATTAATAACTAAAAAGGAAATACATTCGACATTTGCGAATATGATAATGATGGAAATATGTATGAACGAGTTTCTTGTGAAAAAAAGTAGTTGAAAGATTATCGAGAGTAAAACGAGTTTATAATAAAAAAGAAACGCGCGAAGACAGCTATTATAATTCAGCAATAATTGACGACCAATTAATTTAATATGTTCAAGACTATTCGTTAAGTTTTTACGAGTGATCTGCCTTACCGATTGAGAAACTTTCCTGCAAACGGGGTAAGGCGTTGAAGGATAACTGCGGTTAGTAGAAACCCTAAAGACGTGAGAGTCTCTGAATGTTAGAATATCGCAATAGAACATGATTTAATTCCACAGTTATTAAATATTTTATATTACAGTAAATTATAATATCAGATAATAATAAAAATCATATCAGAAACAATTTCAGAGTTGCTACTTGACGCACATGATCACGCGTTTCTTATGGCAAATTGATAATGATAATGATATTTGATATTCAATAAGAATAATCAATAATTGTCGATTAAAAGAAAAAAGAATTTAATATCGAATTAAATATTTTACTTTACAGAAACATTAATAAGCTTTACAAAAAAAATTAATAAATAGGTCGCAATAATCCATAATTATATTATATGAATTCAAGCATTTTGATATATTCCCAGATATCTTTTATATTTTACCAGTGAATACTCAAATCTTATAATAGCATTTCCTAAGAATTTCAGATTTTTCCATGAATTTTATTCAAAATTCCAGGTATAATAAGATTAAAATCATTAGTTGATTAAAGACATTCCAAAACAAATAGTTCGAAAATTATATATACAATCATAACTTGTTTACAATATGAAAAAAATATAATTTTTATATTAAAAAAAACTAAAGATGTATAATTTTTTATATCTAAGTAAATAATATTTAGATAACACAAAATACTGAAATCCTTTTTTTAAAGCTTGAATTTGTTCGTTAAGTGCATCTACTTTTTTCTGAACATTTTCTAA